TTTTAAAAAAAAGTACATTAATAGTGTAGATAAGATGATATAGTCATTACGCATATGTATGCAAGTGCGTGCGCATGCAATGCTAACATGGAAAAAATACTTGGTACACTTCAGGAAAAAGGTTGTTTAATTAAGTCTAAACTGCATAAAGTTTGTCATTTAATGAAAGTTACAGGGAACAAGGCGCTAAAAGGGAGTTGGGAATGTTTGGAGAACATCTGTAACAGTTGTTACAATAAGCCGTTGTTTCTTATTTTAAGATATAACAGGTAATTCAAAACTTATCCAGATTTTAAAAATGTAAATACCGGACAGCGGAGCAGGTCAAAATTTAGCAAGTTACAACCACTACACTAAATAATGTCTGTCGTCATATTCTTTATCAAATGGAACAAAACGAAAAACAACCTAGAAATTTGAGTGAAGAATTGTTACGTTGATTTGCATTCCAAATTATGGCTTAATATTTTGCTTTGTTGGAAAGGAATCAACTTGAGAAGATAGGTAGTCCTTATTGAAAACGACAAAAACGATGACGTTTTAGAACGTCATAGAGCAGCAGTTAACGGTGCAATTTTGTTTTACTCAGGAAAAATTCTGAATAAAGTCTAAAAATGTTGGAGGAATAAAAAAATATGTCATAAGCGAGTTGTGCATGTGTGTACAAATAGTACAGGCAGTATTCGAGTGACAGATACTCTGTAACTTTTCGAACAACCATCGTAATATTAACATAAAAACTTTAAGAAAACAATAATTCTATTCCATTTAGCATAATTAAACATGAAATCAATTACTAAATGTTGTCGGAAGATAAATCCACTAATGCAATCATACACTGAACGAAACATCTAAATGTTCACCTAACATTTTTTTTTAAGTTTTAAAGAACGAATGCATACATACGATAATTTCCAAAATTCACTGTTAATGATGCATATTTCAGTTCGATGTTGCGTAAATTTCATGTAAGTATCTCGTCAGAATTTTAAGCCAATTGTCAAGGACATGATGTACCCTCAAAATGAAAGTTCACATAAAATAATCTCTATATGGAGTAAGGCCACCACTCGCTATAATTGCTTCCAATCATCCTTTTCTCATAGATACCAAGTACCTTTAAATAGTAGATTCACCCATTTGCTGCCACACTTACTGCATGAATCTTTCTAAACCGTTGAAGTTGTGTGTGTTGTTGTTGGGGGTTGGGGTGGGGGGATGGTTGGGTGCTTTGATGTTTCTTATAAAAATTCCAAATGTGTTCAATGAGATTAAGATCCGGAAATTTGGCAGTGCATTATTTGGTCAATATCCTTGGGTGTTTAACACGTAAATGCACCGCTTTAAGGATGATCCAGACTGTTGAGATGATATTAGACTGCCACGAGCACCAATTTCTTATTATTTTTCTCACCATTGATGTTGTTTGTTTAAATGTTTCTAAAATTGTTTCTGGACAATGTAACAATCTTTTAACCTGATTGTGACGCGAAATATTGGCCTCAAACAAAGATCCAAGTCACTTCCAGTTTGTTAAAATTTTGTCCAAAGCTTTCAAATTGTGATAAGCTGGTGATGAAAATGACGCACAACCTATAGAAAAGTGTGTTAAATTTTCATTTGATACTGGTTGTTAATTTTTAAAAGTAATATCAAGGACAAATAAACACAAAAATAAAAATGAGCAAAACGTGCATGGTGCAAGGATAATCCAGATATCAACATTCCAACGCCTCTCCTTCCTACCTCAAAGGTCATTATGCCAATGATTTGTGTTGTTTTTAGTTAAACCAGTTGTAAAATATTGATACTGGTCACAGAAAGATGCTGATTACACAAAACACGTGCCTTAAAGTAAAGGTTTATTGTTTTTTATTAAGCTTCGTCACGGGACATTGGTTTTCATCGGTGATAATTCATTTTCTTTCAATTGTTGTGAACACTCATGGGTTATAATAATTTAAAAATATCATACCATTCTATCATGTAGTTTTTAAATAAATACATTTATTACAGTGAACACTTAGATGTTTTGTAAAGTGTATTCTTTAAATTATTAAAGCTTGTTTTCAATTTAAAAAAAATGATGCTCATTATCTCAGAAAGCGAGAATAATATTTTATTATTCAAGCATCAAACCAAAATCTTGAAATATTTGCAACCCATCAAACTCATTCCCCCATGGACTGAAGGACTTAAAATCCTAAATATACTGTCCTCATTATGATTATTTTTAAGAATTAAAATAAGGTATTAAGCTACCACGGCTCAAATGTTTTCCACAATAGTATTAATTTTACCTAAATGTAATGTTTTCGTGGTAAGATTAATCAAGTTTTCATTTCAAACTGCCTGGGTCCATTAATTCATCAATGAAAATTTTGAATATAAATCGATTGATACTTCTTGACGCAGATTGCAATATCTACATTACCTTTTTGAATTTAATATCATATATATCCTATAAAAATGACTTCTCTATATTTCATTATACCGTATATCCGGTTTTTTTTCGCGTGTTGGAAATTCTTTTACCTAAATGTAATGTTTTCGTGGTAAGATTAATCAAGTTTTCATTTCAAACTGCCTGGGTCCATTAATTCATCAATGAAAATTTTGAATATAAATCGATTGATACTTCTTGACGCAGATTGCAATATCTACATTACCTTTTTGAATTTAATATCATATATATCCTATAAAAATGACTTCTCTATATTTCATTATACCGTATATCCGGTTTTTTTTCGCGTGTTGGAAATTCGAAAATGGGGTAGATAAGTACAGTTTTTATTTTGCGTAAGTTATTTTTACGATTGAATATTTTTTTTTTGTTTAAAATGGTAATGTTTTTATGTCTCATTATAGCTGAAATAATTTCTGCCTGTTTTATATTTTGCGAATTAAAAATGATCGCGAAAAAAGCGAAAAATAGATCACCACGAAAAAAAAAAAACGGATATACGGTAGCCATTCCATGTTATTAATCATTTGCTTTTCAGATAGAAACTCCATCAACTTTTTAAACATTTTAAAAAATTTTACACATTTTCTTCAATCAAAAGAAAGTTATTAGTGAGTATACAGGCTTTTATCAAATTTCTTATATGTTTTGCTTGTCAGAGTCAAAAGCACGCATCGATTTTCGCTTATTTCGTTGTTGATTTATTCTTGTTACATCCTTTATTTTTGAGCCAGAAGGGAAGTTATGCTTTTTATCTATTATCATGAATACATGATCTATTTAAAATATCTTTTGTCATACTAGTAATTGCGGTTTGGACCTATATATTAATTTTTTTTTAATTTTTAAACTTATTTTGAACCACAAGAGGTTGGAAAATATTATACTGGTATATAACATACATAAACATGCTTTTATCAGCTGACTGAAAAGGTATTTCTAAAGTTCACTGGATTCATATTTTTTGTAATTAATTTTTAAAAATCCTTCGAATTACTAAAGTATTCACTGTGATATTTAAAAAAAGTTTATTGAATAACCGAACCCGTTTTAAGATTGTATGATAATTTACATCTGTTCAATTTCGTTTTATTTTTCATTCTAAGACATCGTTAAACTAGAATATATGTTCATTAGTTTTTGTCAGCAAATATAATCTGTCATTAACTCGAATACTTGCGTTTTTCATACAACTTGTTAAGCCGTCATATCTACGGATTTTTCCCCTTTTCCTGATCATGACAAGGAGCACACTGCGGGTGTGACCGGTCGACAGGGGATGCTTTACTTCTCCATGGCACCTGATCCCACCTCTGCCATATTTAGAGTTCTGTGTTTGCTCTATTCCTGATTTGTATTGTTTCAATGGAAGGCTAAGCTTGAATACTGTTCATTGTCTACATATGTCATTAAAAAATAACGCAATTACCTATGAACGCTCTTGTACTAAGATTCAAACTTTCAAATATAAAAAAAATCTCAACTTATAAAACAGCTTTTTTTTTTATACTTTGTCACAATATTATGATTGTGCAAGGATTTTACAGTCACCTGGTGACTTCAGGCTTTTGCTTGTAGTTCTTTAGGTCAGTATTCGAAATGAAATATGAATGTAACGAACAGTTATCAACTTTTGAAACAATTCTAATTTCTAGGAGGTCCAAGAAAGGCCTTTAAAAAATTCAGGGTTTGAATTATTTGCCATGCAAAAGTAACCATCCTGTGTATATTGGCCATACCCTGGGTCAAATGATAGGAATGTAATATCCAGCGTGTGTGTGTATTTGCGCTTGTTGGTTTATTGTTTTGGTTGTTTAAACAGTTAAATTACTTATTTTACTTATTTTCTCAGCTTTTTGGTATGACAATCTACCACTATGATTATTATTTGTCCAACTAGTTTACGCTTTCAAGCTTTTATGTATTGTCTAACGTTAACATTACCGTGACATGCAGCAAGTGTAACAATAATTTGGCAGAGCACACATTTCTTTTATCAAAACTAGCTAAAAATACGTCTTTGTTTGTTGTCACACGTAGAACAAACATATTTGCTTAATATTTGCTTAATATATTTACAGTGATTTGCTTTGTAAACCATTAATCTGTGACGTTTCTTTCATTTCTGGACTTTACGCACAGGCAACTGACGTTACTGACTTTTTCTTATATAACAAATTAACTTATGATTAGGTATGGCGTTATTAATATTTTTATATATAGAAAAATAAGTGACGCCAAGTGCTTGTGCATATACGTTATTTATCTATAATATCAATGAAATATATGGAGATAAGTTTTGTTAATTTCAAAAAACGAATATTTGTGTATCGTAATAATTAAACATTTCGTCATGGAAATTTGTCAAACACAAAACAAACCGTAATAATAAAAAAAAAAAAGATATGCTATGATTGCACGGTGTTTTTAAACAAATTTTGACGCTTATGACACTGCATGTGCCACAATAGAATAAAAAAATTGTATATATAAGGGAGTCAATGTATTTAGAATTTTGTCTAGGGCTAAATGCATTTCTTTCTTTTAAATTATAGGATGCTCCTATTCATGTTCATGTTTTCCCTCGACTGGTATTTATAACTTAACTGTCAATGGAAAGCGTATGGAAGTTAAATGTTTTCGTGGACACTATCATATGTGGACTGTGAGTAGTTAACAACATTTTGTAGTTTGAAACCCCATGAAAGTAGGCAAATGAATTTTTCCAAATCATTTTTAACAATGTATTTTAAGATGCAAAGTTTTACATACATGTTGATTGTTGAATGTTAAACTCTGTTGATTTACCTTGTAGGTTATACAAAGACGATTTGACGGCTCTGTGTTGTTTAACAGGAGTTGGTCCGAATACAAAGCAGGGTTTGGTTCCTTGGATTCTGAATTCTGGCTCGGTAAGATGAAATAAAAACGCAAACTTATGAATGAAGAACAACAAGAAATTCGTTACTATAATGCTTTTTAACGATTCGTTATTAACAAATCGCAATTCCTCAAATGTGTGACTTTGATCTCTGACACACGGATAAAATCTACATAAATTATATTATATTTATGAATCAAGTTACACAACAAATTGTATACAACAAAGTGTCGTATATTTATCTCGTGATCTAAAATTGCGGAAACGTAATGCTAATTAAGGTGCGTTTGGAGCTATACCTTTCTTGCAATAACAATAATATGGTCCCAACTAAGTGACTTATTTTAAAAATGGTAAAATGTTTGATGTATATAAAAATCGTTTCAGATGACATGACTTTAACGTATTCATAATTTTGTATTAAACAGGAAATGACAACATCCATGACTTAACAAAGAATGGTCTAACTTATATGCGGGTCGATCTGATGAATTCTACTGGAGGATGGAACTACGCAGAGTACAGTCGCTTTTCAGTGGACAGCGAGGAAAACAAATATAACCTCACAATTACTGGACACTCAGGAGGATTAAGTAAATCATTTAGGAAAAGCATTTGACAGGTCAACAGGGGGGTGTTTACTCCTCCTAGGTTCCTGATCCCGCCTCTGTAACTTACAGGGAACTGTTTTTATGCCCTCTTTACATATTTATGTTTATAATCTTTTTTAGATCGATCACAGTTCGTTATCTTAAATCACCTTCAAATATCTCAAATACAACGAGCAGTAATTTATCCCATTTCCCCCTTCACTGTGCTAAATTAAATACACTGAACCAAATTTCTAAGTGTTCATCTAGCATTTTTAAAGTTTTAATTGAGAACACACAGGCCTTTAGATCACTTAGAGAAACATTGAGGTGTAAAAAATCTTGTTTTTACACATACATTTTTTTTGTAAGCGATCCAAATACCTGTGTATAATTATAAACAATTTCTTCAATTTGTACATTTTATGTATCTCCTCAGAATTTTAAGCCAATTGTCAAGGACATGACGAACCCTCAAAATGAAAATTCACATAAAATAATATCTTATGGACTAACACCGCCACCCGCTCAGATAACTGCAAGACATATCCTTTTGCTGGCAGGGGATAGTTTCGTACTAAAGAATAAAATTACTTTATAAAAAAAAACCCAGAGATATACCCTGTTTGATGTAACATTTTATGCAGAAAAATTATCAGAAGCAGTGTAGCAGAGTGCTTGCTGAAAAAAATGATATGCAACCTGTAGTTAATGTCACTATGATGCGTATCATAAACAGTTGTTATTAAGACACGTGGTCAGTTGCAGAGGAAATTTAGGTGAAAGGCAGTAGGTGTGTATCTCAGACGGAATGTGAATGTCAATTGGTATATTTTCATTAGTGCATGTACATTGTTTTTCAAACTTCTTTATGTTTTATCCTGCTCGCTCGGGCCTGGTAGGACTGGATGGGTGCAATCTAATTAAAATTAGATGTTAGATCCGCTCACATACTCGTTACTCTAACATCGATGTTAACCGATGCGAGCGGATCTAACATATAATTTTAATTAGTTTTTCATAGAGCTTGGTTGTTAGATTACCATTAATGTCTTTTTCAAGTAAAATATATCCAACTATGAAACAGATGTGTCAGACTCTGTGGTATCTTTTATCTCATGGTCGCTAGGATGTATCCTATCGACAAAGGAATGGAAATAACCATTGTTAGTTGACAGTACGTCGTCGATGTATCTAAATGTTGAGTTGAAGGCCAAACAAAACAATGAAAACAAAAATAGGTCTGCTAATAACAGAGCGCAAATGATACCCATGGGGATTCCAATGGATTGTTGGAAGAGCTGGTCTCCAAAAACCACATAGATAATGTCAATCAGAAACTCAAGCATCTTTTTGTTGTCAGCTTCAGAGTACTTGTGTGTGAAAACAGAATGTGTTTTAGCAAAATAATTGTGCAGTAAGTAAGTACTGCAAAAAGTAAATTTACGAGTTCCTTTTTTTATTGAAAAACAGCTGTCAATGATATCAAAAAGCCTGGACTTTGGCTGTGTATAAAATTGAAAAACTGTACATTTTTAAGCTGTTGATTTTGGTAAAATCTTGTGATTTCAAATTGTCCAAAAGTTATTTGGAATTTTTATGTATCCACATCTGATTCACACCACTTCTTGAATATATTGTTCACAGTACTCTTGAAATGTCTCCTTCACTACTGTTAATATCTTAGTGAGGAGTACAGAAAGAGGCTTGGTTGAACATTTACTGGAACCGGCAATGTATCTTTGTTTGTAAGGATTCTTTTGAAGTTTTGGAATCCAATATATACGACTCCTGGGTTGTCCGTAAAGTTCATGGACAACATTGATAATTACAAACATTGATAAAATATAATGAATACAAGAAAATCATTGACGTTACCCAACGTTGAAAGATTACTGAAAGATTAATTCATGCAATCTTTCTCGACACATTCACAATTTAACCCAAAACATATAATTATATAACTTTCTTTTGTCGCTTTAACTTGTCTTCAAAATGTGCACAAATTGTTCAGGTTTCACACGCAAAATCATATTTAACAATACCTGTCTCATATCCAGCAATAAACAAACCTTGTAAATCCGCGTAAAACGATTTTGTTTGCGGAAATTCGGCAAAGTCACGTTACGAAATTCATTTATTAAAGCACTGCAATATCGGAGTGATGGTTTTCCTTCATGCATGTCACCCTGTAAACTGTTTCTTCCGTCCGAAAATATTATATGGAACTTAGATTCTAAATTTATATAATGAGCCTTACAAACAAAGACAATGTTGTTACCTGCTTTTTCCGTATGGACCATTACATACTGATCACATAATATTAATCTATGTACATGTAGTTCTTTTTTCATCTCTGGATTATTCATAACAGAAGGATAAATGGTTCTCATTTTGTCCCTCAATCTTTTAATACGCGATTCCAACATGGATCTAATACAATTAATCCATTCTGACAAGGAGTCAACGTCTTCTTTTTCATATCTGGCCCATCGTCTAGCGTAATCTTCAACGGAATCCGTAATATTTATGAAATTACGATGCCATTTGAAGGATTGGGGTTCCCTATATTTAGGACCTTTTAAAATAAGTGAGTTTAGTTACATTTGCGTCACCTTTAATGATTAGCTCAGCAGGACTATATACTTATAGGGTGGAGAAGCAGGACTATATACTTATAGGGTGGAGAAGCAGGACTATATACTTATACTTATAGGGTGGAGAAGCAGGACTATATACTTATAGGGTGGAGAAGAACATGAACATGACGGAGGAGTATGTTTCAGATGCCAGGCATCAGAAATGACTCATTTTTAACTAAATGTCGCTAATTTTTCCCAAATTGGAAGGCCTGAGCCCTTGATTTTAAGACCCCCAAAACCCTGAAAATTAACCCCATGTACATGTTTTTTTATGGATCGTTTGACTGTGTACCCCCTCCGCAATGTTTGGCATTAAAAATATCCTCTTTTAGTCTGCCACCTTTGTCATGGATACAATATGCCCCTGAATTGGAGATTGACCCACCTGCTGCCACACCTACTGCATGGATATTTCTAAACCGATTAAATTGTGTGGAAGGGGGGCTTTGACATTCCTTATAAAAATCCCAAATGTGTTCAATGGGATTCAGATCCGGGAATTTGGCAGTGCATCATCACACAGATGCCTTTTAGTTAATATTCTTGGGCGTGTAGCACGTATGTGTACTGCTTTAAGGGTTATTCAGACTGTTTGAGATGATATTAGACTGTCACGAGCACTAATTTCGTATCATTTTATTACAATGAAATTATTTGTTTTAATGTTTCTAAAATTGTTTCAGCGACAATGGAACAAACTTTTAACCTGGTTGTGACGCGAAAAATTGGCCTCAGAAGAAGATTCAGATCACCTCCGGTTTGGTTAAATTTTGTCCAAAGCTTTCAAATTGTGATAAGTTAGCAATTAAAATGACAAAATGTGTTTAAATGGGTTTTTATACTGGTTGCTAATTTACAAATTTAAAGTAATTCTGTAGATTGGCAAATGATAACGATGGTTTTAATTTCGCTATGTTCGCGATTTATCATTTTTCCGCGAAATTAAACCCATCGTGAATGTCATTATTAGTTTTTAGAAACGTTTAAATGCTTATAGGAAATTTTGAATTAATTTCTTGCAGCGTGAAATTAAAACCATCGCGATTGGTACTTTTTGAGATATCGTGAAATTTTAACACCGTGGAATTAAAACGATTTACAGTATCAAAGACACATAGACACCCAATTGTTGGGAAGACTTATTGGGGTTATGATAATTTGAAAAGATCACACTAATCTATAATGAAGTTTTTAAAGAAATACATTTATTAGAGTGCACGAACACTTAGAAGTTCTGTAAAGTGTATGTGTTTGATAATTTCTTTGAGTTTATGAGGCAAAAGCGATTGAGAGCTGACGCTTTTGAGAGAATTAAAGGTGTTTTTGGATTTAGTGTATCATCGATATCCCCTAATATCTTATTTTTGTTTGACAGGAAATGACCTGGACATCCTTCATGGAATGTTCTTTTCTACCCATGATGTTGACAATGATCTGTATATTTATTCCTGCGCCAGTAACAACAAAGGAGGATGGTGGTTTCACGAGTGTTTCAAAGCGAATCTTAATGGAGAATACGGCTCTAGCGTCAAATGGCGTGCCTGGACCACCGTGCCCTTGAAAGAAACCAGAATGATGATTAGGGAACCCTAGAATGCAATAATTGATTTTTAAAATGTGACTTAGATTGAAAACTTGTATATTTTTTGGTCTAGTGCCCTTTTTATCTTGCAATAATAGCCATGTAAGAACAAAAAGCCTATATTTTTTATACAACAAGAATTACATTATCATATTTATAACATTTGTCATGTGGAATTCTAATAAACTACTACTTATTTACTTAAATTAAATGTGAATGTAAAAGAAAAAAAAAGAACGAAAAGTTGCTTCAGTTTTAATTCTTTAAATTCACAATTTTCACAATAAACATTAGCACCATACCAGTGCAAAAAAAAGTAATAATAATAATAATAATACACATATGCGACAGTACGACAATACACAGCAATATATTCAAGTCACTTATAATACTAGCATTAGTTTAAAAAAAGGTATTGTCTACATAATTTCTCTATTTTCTCTGCGATTTTGAGTTACACTTTATGAGTACTTATCAAAAATATTTTCTCAAAAAATCTCTGATTTAACAAATTTCACGAGTGACATACCTTGATTAAAATACTTGGTCCATAATAAAACATTGTTTAAAATATGTCTTTCTAATGTCAGAGCAAATTAGAAATTTCATACTAAAAGATAGCTCCCATTATGATCAAAAAAGCAAACTCACTCCAAGGTGTTTCGTAATACGTGTTTTTTTTAAAATAAGTTTTGAATCTATAACTTGACAAAATACAAAACATGGATCTTTAACAATTTAATGAATATACCATAAGTTTCATTTTACATAATGATTTAACGACAGATATAACGAATACCTAACATTAGATTAAATCTCAGTGATTCATAAAAAAAATTTAAAAGTTTGAGCTTTATTGTGCCCTAACTTTCGATCTTCTTTAAAAGCTTTTCAATTAACTTAAATTAACATTAGTTGAGTAGATGAATATAATAAATCATTAAAGAATATGGTACAAAGGAGGAACATTTAGAAAATATAATTTCATTAAATTGGTGCATCTCTACGTTTTTTTCCAGAAAATTAAAGTCTCAAAACGACTCATTTTTGTGCATTTAGAAAATAGTGTCTGTCGCCGTCGCCCACTTCAGTTTTTGGATATATTGTCTAATATACTAGGGTTGTCCGGTAAAATCGTGGACAAAGCGTTTTTCTCGAAAAATAATAGGCGCACTAAGCTAAAATTTTCAGTAAATGTTTATTTATCATATCTAAGTGCATCATAATTTTTCTCGTAAAATATAGACAAAAAAAATTAAGATTTTATTCAGCTTGAATGTGCACAGGTTAGGGTCCTACGGCGCACCGGCAAAATATCAATGTTTTATTAGAGAATACACGAGTATATCTCGAAAAAAAGTTTTAAATTCATGTACATAAGATTGGGGTTAAAATTATGCTTATTCGATTCCATAATCTATTTTGTCGGCTTTTTAAAAATATCAAGGCATTTGGTTAATTTTTGACAGTTTCGGGGAATTCGAAATAGGAAAGCGATAAACACAACATATGAAAAATTGCGACGTTTGATGACGTTACGGCGCTTCGGAGAGCAGTTCAGTTTGATTAAGATGTTGTAATGGCACCTTTAAAGACTTTAAATGAATATAGAAGAATTTTTTCTCTTAAAAAATTACCAGATATTTAGTATACAAATGAAATGGGAGTTTTTTTGGATCTATTTTCTATTTTTGCTCGAGTCCACGTGTAGTACAAAACATACGGATATACTGCTATTGTAATATGAAAAGACGCTGTCACTGTCGACCGTCGATATAAGATTGTCTATTTAGTTAAATAATGGTGAGAATTTTGTCCGTAACTTAAATCTTCATAAGATGGTATGTGTGTGCCAGATTGATTCCTCAACTGTTTAGGAAAACCGAGTACGTGCTTAATGAAATCCCTGAATTGTAGAGGGACTCATATCCAACATACAATGTAGCAAAGATGAAAAGTGACGCTGTTTTAGACACTTTGACGTTATCATCCGTGATCCGTAAGGCGATATAATACTGGGCAATATTTGCATCGAAACCATACCTTCTTTGCATCATTTCTTTAAAAAATATTGAGACAACGTATGGTAATAAAGCTTAGTAGTCCGTTTGTACAATAAAAATCAGTAGCAAGGCAATCACGGATCTCTTAAACATCAGAGATGGTACAGGTGCCATGGAGGAGTGAGCAATCCCTGCCGACCGGTTGCACACAACGTGTGCTCCTTGTCATGATCTATTAATAAGTATGAAAAACATTCATCAGCATATAACTTGATGATAGATTGTGTATGCGGACAAGGTAATTAAATCGACCTTGGAATTTGAGAATAATTTACTTTAAACAAAACTGTCTATATTCATGTTTCATCACAGATCTTCATCAATATCTTATCTCGTTTCAGAAATTGTTCGTACGTAGAGCATAATCTTGCGAGTTGAATCAACTGAGAAACATAAACCAATTTGTGGACTCTTTTTTCACATTCACTGGGATGCATGATGTCGACATACTGTATGAATGAAAGAAACTATTGTTAATTGATATGTCGTCGATATATTCAAATGTTTTGAGTTAATGGAGACAGCAATTGCAAGCGTTTCCGTTTTTTCTTCTCATGTATAAGATTTTTATCAAATTTTATTTCATATGACAAGCAGACCTATTTTGTATTTATGTAAAGCAGAATTTGTCCAAAATTTACGTGGAAAGAAGAAAACACTTGCTGTGGCCATCACTCGACAATTAGATATATCGACGACGTATTGTCAATCAGCAATGGTTATTTCCATTCTTATGTTGATGCGATAGGCTATATCACGGTGGGCTTGAGATAAAAGATACCACAGAGTCTGACACATCTGTTTCATATTTTACTTGAGAAAAATGTCGATAGTTATCTAACAACCAAGTTTTATAATAAACCCTATGACTATAACTTCTCAATCGTCAAATTCCCTTACTTATACAGCAATATACCTTCATCTACTGCATATAAGTTTATATCTCTCAGTTGATTCGATACGCAAGCGTATGATCTACATATGTAAAATTTCTAAAACGAGGAAAATTATTGACAAACAAGTTGATGAAACAAGAATATCAACAGTCCCGTTTAAAGTCAACATTTCGTAAGTTCTATGGTCTATACAATGACCTTATCCGCAAATATAATTTATCATTGAAGCCCATTATTTACTCACTGATTTGACGAAGGATTTTTTCCGTTATTTCCCGATCATGACAAGGAGCACACGGCGGATGTGACCGGTCGTCAGGGGATGCTCACTCCTCTATGGCACCTTCTCCCACCTCTGACGTTTTGGAGGTTCGTGTTTGCTCTGCACCTATTTTTTATTGTTTTATGGACTTTTGACTTGCATTCCGTTCGTTATATCAATATGTTTTATGGAAAAAAAATCCCACAACATCAGAACCTTACATCACAATCAGAAAAGAAGTCGCTTCTTGACATTCAAACTTATCTCTTTCGAAACGATCCTCATCTGAAGTTTTATATTATTTTGTAAGTTCAATTAGTGTTTGTGGTTTAGCAGTGTAGACAATAATAATGTCTTTTGAAAGCCTTTCAGGAAAATGTCTAACCGGTTCAGATCTGGCAATTGGAGAAATAAAATCTACTTGAGATTTCATTTGAGAAATCTTTGATTCTTGAATTCATTGTTTTCTTCGGCTCTTTTCCTAGTATCACATATTGACACCATCATTGCAAATTTTATTGATAACTAGCTTTCTAATAAGTATTCCAAGGATGCTTACATTATTCAGCCAACATCATGGTAGTTCAGTCGTAGAGTACTCGCTCTGTGATTGGGAGGTCGTAGGTTCAATGAAAAGAAGTTGTGTCTTTCAGAACAAAGCTCCGTATCACAGTAGGCGTTGGCACAATATATATGAACCCTCATTGCTCAAGGCCTTAAGTGTCGAGGAAATATTTAAATCTGAAGCCCTTCGCCCCTATATTTTGTGACGTATTTATATGAATAAAAATTCTTTAATTCTTTAAATGACATTAAACAACATATAAACAATCAACCAATTAATCCTTATTCAGCCTGTGATTAAAGTTGACAATTCATATTAGTAATAGAACTTAACAAATGCATCCCTCTATATTTATTATTTATATAAACTCAAAATATATTAAAATGATGATATCGACATTTATACCATCATCAAACATTATGATTTCATAATTCATTGAACTTTTTTCAAGTAAAATAAAAGTGCAGGAATTGATATTGAAATTAAATTAAATATATGAAACATAAGAAAGTTGTTCAAATTGAAAAATGTAACACATTTATTATGAAACGCTGAATAAATAAATATTAAGATAATCTTATAACCACCCGTTTCTGATATATAACATGTAATTATAACCTAATTTATTTACTTTGGATTTATAATATTTACAATAATTAAAATCCATTGCTTTTGACAAGTATAACTGCTTTAAGTATGGTTGAAAACTACATGTATTTCTAAAATGTATCAAAACGCACTCTCTTTTGAAGACATTATCATAAACGAAAGTGTAACAAAGCCTCATTTAATCTATATTGATAGCTATGGAATGCCATATACGACAGCCAACTGCTTACTGCCAACTGCTGACTGCTTACTGCCAACTGTCAGCTGCTTACTGCCAACTGCCACACATATTTGAATAAATTTCATATTCGTATTGAATTTTCACAAAAAAAAAAAAAAAAAAGGCACGGATTCAGGACATTTTTTTTCCAAGGGGGTCACCCTGGTAAAATTGAATTGATAAAATGACTAATATGTTTTATCTTATGTAATATTCAATATATGCGGTTGATAAAGTACATTGTTTATTATTTTTTTTATTTGTTTTCCTATTTGAAATAGGTAATAAAATGACTATTTTCTGCAGTTAATCTTTAAAAAAGCCCCCCCCCCTCCCCCGGAGACAACAAAACCTTTGAAGAGAGAATGATAATAAAAAAAAAGATTTGTCGTTTCGCAGAGAAAGATGTTTTGAAAATAAATTTCCGTTTTCCATTATATTCTATAGTTAAAAATTTCCTCAAATTAAAGAAGTATATCTCTGTGTGTTATAATGCAGGCACATAGCATCGTTTTTGAAATATCATATATATAATATGATATATATATTTTTTTACTTACCTGAA